TGGATAGGTTTCGAACTCTGGTTCTGTACTCGGATAGCCATCGTAGCCCTACTGTACAAACACTTCAGCACTTCGATGTACCGACAGTCAACTTGGCACCGCAGAAGGGACTGTAGCACCGCCCAAATTTCGACGGAATCAAAGGCTTTCTCATAGTCCACATATGCCAGGCAAAGTTGCAGATTGTACTCTTCGGTCTTCTGTACAATCTGCCGCAGGGTATGTATGTGGTCTATGGTACTGAAGCCTTTTCGGAAACCGGCTTGTTCGGGAGGCTGGAAGTCGTCGAGTCTGCGTGCGAGACGATTCGTAATGACTCTCGAAAATAGCATGTAGACGCGGCTCAGAAGGGAAATCGGTCTGTAGTTCTTCAAGAGAGCGTTGTCGCCTTTCTTAAAGAACAAAACCACCGCGCTTCTGCTCCACGCCTCCGGAGTAGTGCCACCATGGAGGACGGAATTGAAGAGCTTCCGAAGGACTTCAAGTACCGGTTTTCCACCCGCTTTCAGAAGCTCCGCTGTAATTCCATCCTCGCCCGGGGCCTTGCCGTTTTTAAGGTGGTGGAGAGCCATTCTAATCTCGCTCAGACTGACGTCCGGGATATCATCGGAATAGTGTCGGATAAGACTTGCTCTTGGATCGTTACTCACACTTGCGTGTGGCTCCAACGATGATGTGTACAGCTGCCCATAGAACCTCTCAATCTCACTCAAAATCTCAGGTGTCCCGGAAACGATGTTGCCACACTCAGTCTTCAGCTTTGACAGTTGGCTCTTTCTGGCAGACAGATCTCTGGCAAAGACTTTAGAGCCCTGGTTCCGATCGATCGCTTCTTTAATACGAGAAGTATTAAAGTTGCGTAAGTCTTGCCGCATGCATTTGGAGATCTGTCTGTTCAGTTGCCTGTATGCTGTCAAATCTGTTGACGATTGCAGCCTCATCTCCCGTCTAACAGCCATGAGATTAAGAGTGTGATCGGACAGTTTTTGTGTTCTTCTGCGGCGGGTCTTGCAGAACTTAGCTCCGACCGCATGGACAGTTTCCACGAGCTTGTCGTTCATATGGTCCACTGAATTGCAATCTTCTAGGCACTGGAAGCGAGAAGCGATTACGTAACTCGAGCTGAAAGGTTTCGGGATTCTGGATTAGAGCACGAGGGGACGGAGCGTTGACTTCATTAGACGAGACCTCTCCAACTTAACGTTTAGGTTCAGTGTGCCTCTAACCATTCGGTGATCGCTGCCAGTTTTCACCCTTGCGATCACTGAGACATCACTGATCAGTTGGCGTCTGGTCGTCATAATGAAGTCAATCTCATTTTTTGTCGAACCGTCGGGGCTCGACCAGGTCCACTTCCTGTGGGGCCGCTTCTGGAAGAAAGAGTTCATCATAAAGAGTCCCTCTTTCTCCATAAAGTCAGCCAGCTGCTGGCCCCTTCGGTTCCGTTGCCCTACTCCAAATTTCCCTACCTTCAGCTCACCGCTTTCTCTTGTGCCTAGTTTTGCGTTGAAGTCTCCCATCAACACCGTGTAGTGGGTTTTGGAGGAATGTATGGCTCTGGAAATATCCTCATACATTTCCTCCACCTCCTCATCGGGATGTGCCGAGGTTGGTGCGTAAACCTGAATGACCTTCAGCGAATACCGTTTGGTGATTCTGAGTATCAGGTACGCGACCCTCGTCGACACACTCCCAATCTTTACAACGTTGTTGACGAGAGACTTGTGGACGATAAATCCAACACCTCCTTGGGACAGATGGTCGCCCTCCCGGTGATAGAACAAGTTGCCGGACTCGAGGATTGCCGTGTCCTCCCCCTCTCTTCGGACCTCGGATAATCCAATAATATGCCAGCGCAACTTGTCTACCTCTTCTTCCAGCTCTAGTATCTTCTCGTCAGTCCTCAGGGTGCGTGCGTTATATGTTGCCAGGTCGAGTCGTCGTAGGTGGCAACCGAACCTCCACCGGAGATTCTTAGCACCCCCTGCCCCGCCGTTACCATGATCGCCACCGTAGCCAGGAATAGCGGGGCCGCCGGGGACTGGGGGGCCGTCTGTTTGTGTATTTATTCATTGGGGGGTATTTGCCATAGTTGCCACGCTTGGCGAGCGGGTTGGCAACCGCAGTTTTTTTATTACGTCACAGTTGTTATCAGGAAGATGCTGCTGCCCATCTCCTGCCTGTCTCCCTCTGTCGCCTTTTACGACACCCACGGGAAGATATGGGGTAGTGGATATTCTCAACCGCCACTACACGGCCAATGTGAATACAACAACAAACAAACACAACAAAAATACAACGACAAACAAAATATATTAATTTTACACTATGTATCTTATAAACCTTGAATTATCTTCATACAGCTTAAAAGACAAACTGTGGGGGCTTGTGAATGCGGCCGTGTTTTGTAAATTACAGCTGATTTAATAAAGAGTATTTATTAAAAAGCAAATAAATGGGATTCTGGTACCTTTGATGTGAAATTAATTAAGCAGCTAAAATACATTGAAATAGCAAAATTATTTTTTTTTTCATTTTCTACACTGTCTTATAGATTACGTACAATTTTTTTTAACTGGAAACATCTTGACCAATCTCTGCAAACTTTTTTGTGACATTTTTTTGTACAAAACATGGAGAAAATACGTATGGCAAATACGTTTTCCTCTAGTGATCGGCTTGCTGAATGTAATGCTTCAAAAATGTCAGGAAAAAGACCGCAATATCATTTTTTTTCACAATTTTAATAAGAATCTCCATACTCTTGAAATTTTTATTATTGAAGTACAGCAGAAAGTAAACCTGAATATTTTATAATTATGAATATTCTTCTGAATATTTTGCATCATGAAATAAAAATAAACAGATATCAAAAATTTGATAACATCATGTAAATAAATCACGGAATATAAAATATATTCCGTGGAAAAACTACTACTCTGGGAGTAACATTTTCATAACCAAATAATTTCACATACGAGTTGTCGCTAATGAAACGGTGAAACTTATTTGAAGTTTCTGCGCGCCTTGTGTTACTGTGTAACAAAATAGGTATACGCCAACCTCATCCACGAGAATTGTAATAAATTTGCTTACATTTACATTGTGTATTCATTGCAAGAGGTGTTCAGGACGTGACTCGATTACAAGGTAGTATCGGCTGATACCAAAATAGTAAACACAGTTGTGAGCTCAGTGTTCAGCTCATGTAGACAATGCCGTCTCGGTCTCGGTGTAACTACGTTTAATTGTTACTCTTTATTATTTTTTTTTTAAATTTATCAATGGCAAAGAAAATATTTTATTATCTATTTTATATTCAATTATCTTATTGCAAAATAGATATTAAGATAACGGTCTAGACGTAAACGTTTTCTTTACTTTTTAGTGTCGTTATTTAAGATTTTTATAGTCTACTTCGATATATACTGGCAAAACTGCAAATAATTGCTGGCATTTATCTAGAGTTTCTAGATTCATCAAGAGTAATAAAATATCAGGAATAGAAAAGGTCTAAAAGTGAATCTTGCATTTTCACATCATTATCAAAATTAATGCAAAGCTACTAGAATTTCGGGAGTGGCACAATTGTAAATAAAGTTGCATTTTTATCGGTAGGCAGTAGAAAAACTTATAGAACAGAACATTCGCTTCGTGGTAAAAAAAAATCGATGATTCTATTTGAAAGCTGGTGCTTCTCATGTAGTCCCATTATAAATTTGATCAAGATCTGACCAGTATTTTTCGAGTTATCCTTAATAATGCGTATTTAATAGATTTCGATTTTCGACTAATGATTTCTTAAATTTACGCGAACACTACACATTGAATAAAACCACTTATACGGATTTCATCATGTTTAATTAACTTATTTTTAACTTATTTCTAATTGCCGACGTTTCTGGTGCTTTACAGCACCCATGGTTACGGGGGGATGCTCGGATGTAAGACGTCCTATAATGTCATGGTTAGCCCAACTACCTTCAGTTTACGAATATTAATTTTTTGTCCGATCTACCTGTGTAAATACGAATTTAAACTGAAAACGAGCTTAAAATATCTTGAAGTCTTGCAGTGGTATGCTTGGGCTTAGATTTAATTTTGTTAATTATAGGATCCCAAGAACATGGCAGCACCCATCCATGTTCCAAGTTTATAAGTTTATCCATGTCTATTGAAATTAGGATGTTTTTTAATTTCAATAGCCTCGCATATCATCCTTGGTAGGAATCGGTACCTTTGCGAGAATTTGTTGTGTATCAAATCTGATGTAATGGGGGCGACGATCTTGAACATGTTCAAAGACTTCCCGGAGCGTCGGTGCTTCACATCAGCTACATGTTTTTTTACGCGGGTTTTTATAGATCTTTTTGTTTGTCTTACGTAAGAGAGACCACATTCTATACTCTATAGATAGCACTGGCACTTTCTACCCATAAACAGATGTAGATATTATAATGCTCTGTTTGGTCAAATAGTAAGAGGGTCAGTATAATTTCAGTTAAAGTTATTTCTTGTAGATGTTGCTGTAAAAGCTCAAACTGGGGCAAATCCCTAAGATTTTCCAGTAAAACCTCAGATCTACCGAACTTTAAAAGTAAAAATCCGAACTTCTTTTGTGGTAATCCTTAATTTCAGACTTTCACTACCGTTGACATTGTAAATCTTAGTGTTTAGCTCAAAGATACGTAAAATTTTGAAAATAGTCGTGGCTAGAAATGTTTTAAATCTTAGTTCTCGCGGACCGTGTGTAGTATCAACTCTCTCTGCTCGACACAGTCGATCGCGTAGTACGTACGTTTTTGTTATCTAGGAGTATTTATGATGCAAAATGAGTGTGATACAAAGACTTAATGGAATACTAAACAAACTCGTCACAAGTAAGAAAGACAATGACTTTAATCTCGATATGAGTAAATTTTTAGAGAAAGCAAAGGCTAATACGGTTAGGCTTCAAAAATACAAAAAATTAATTTAGGCAATGAAAAATAGATGATGTCATGAGGGAGTCGAAAGAGAGGTTCTTTTGTTTCTCTCATGATATGCTGGACGAAGCATTGTTTGGTTTTCCAGTGAAAATGAGCATCGCAACTTCAGCTATCGTTAGAGATACGATTGGAGTTATAAAATCTGAAGAAAATTTGGAGAATTTATTGCATTCGCAGATAAATGCGGAACAATATATTACAACCGAAAATATAATTGCAGATAATAAAAAATATATTCATTTTGGCGAAGAGTCAAATAACGCTGTCAAGAATAAAGAATATAGAAGAGATTATTACGGAGATGTTGAAGGGTAAGAAAAGATCCGATGTTTGTAATGTAATAACTGATGATAATGTCCCTAAAAATTTCGATATCAATTGGGAGAAAGAAATCACGAAACAATTGCATGAAGTTCTTTCAACTATATAGTCAAAACCAAAAAGGATTGAATTTGTACTGACTATAATGTGATAAGAAAATTAATGAAAAGTAAGCGTAAATTAATGAATGTTGGCTACATAGATATAACGTTTGTGAGAAGAAAACAAATCTTTGTTTATTTTACTGTATTGTACATTTACTCATCACAAATATGTTTTAAAATTTAGTCGGTAGTATGATTCGATGTTTAATAAATACTTTCTACTTATTTGTTTTTATTTCAAAAACCAACATTTACTAATATTTATTGATATAATCTAGCATGTTTCCAACTCCAGTACGTCCTAAGATTTAAACGAAAATCCTTAGATAAACCCAAAAACAGGCTTTTAAATATATGTTACTTTTGGTCGGATATCTTGTACGACATCTTTATAAAAAAGGCTGCAAATCCAACTCGAAATCATTATTAGTGTTATATATTTTTATATAATATTATATAAAAATACACACACACACACACACACACACACACCCACACACATATATATATATATATATATATATATATATATATATATATATAAATGTATGTAGTATATACATGTATATTCTCCAGTGCCAGTTCGTAAGTCTGTAAATCTGCAATAGCGTCTCAAACCAGTCTTGTGTTCGTTACATACAATACAAACACTACAAAACTTGCTACAAATATCCAAAAAAATAGGTAATTGAAATGCCACTTTATATAAATAAATAATGATCAGAAATTATTATTTCATTAATATTTCAAATATAAAACTAGTAAATACTCTGTAAAGAAAAAGTTCTTTTGACTAGATTCTATTTATTGAGAGATTTCTATTAGAGCTATTTGCTATTTTGATTATCCACCTAAAATGGATCGAATTCATCATCAGCATAAAAAGCAAAATGATAACAAATTAAGGGTTTAAATGTCCTCTTATTTTTTCAAAAAAAGGGCTCAACGCTACAAAGATTCCAAACAGATTATTGACTCAGTTCTTTATTGCTAGTTGCTTCTTTTTTTAATATAACATATTATAGAATGCCTTTGAACAATTTATTAGATATCCAAATAGTTCAAAGGCATTGTATAATATGTTATATTAAAAAAAGAAGCCACGGGCATTAAAGAACTGAGTCAATAATCTGTTAGGAATCTTTTTAGCGTTGAGCCCTTTTTTAGATATTATTTGGCTTTTTATATTGATTTATATAAAAACGCAAATATGAGTCTCTGAGAGATGATATTATATATATATTAGAGATATATTTGTGCTCTTTGCTGTAGAGACTATGAGTCTATGGGGTCCACATGCGGTGAAATTCCTAAAGAAACTCTACCCGAGACTGGTCTGGTGATAAGCTTTTCTCGCTCAAAAGCTTAGTAAAGCCATTCAGCGAGGAAAAGCAGTCAGCGTTCTTGGCATGACACCACGGGGAGTAGGACCGATGATAATTAAGTTATCATTATTAGTTTTTTTTAACTATAGTTTTTTTTAATATAGTATATATTTAAATGTTATTTAAACAATAAATCAACGCATGATATATTAAGAATTTATAAAAATCTACAGCATTGCAATTTCTCGCGTTGATTTTAGGCTTATCGTAACATTTTTAGTAGACGTCGTCATATCTTTAATCTTAGTAAAGTATAAAATTAATACTATATATTTCATTAACATATAGTGAAGATTTAAGAGAATCTATTATCACATTTTATACTGTAAGTATCGCAAGAGTCGAGTATGGGAAACACCAAAACATATCATGTTTACAACAAAGAGTTGGAACTTGGAATAATATAATTTTCCAGCATTTTGTTTTTCCACACTATTAAAATGTGAGTATTTCTGAGGTACGAGTGCAAAGGCTTTTGTTTAAGCTGAATTAGTGTACTTTGCCGTGCTGCGTCAATACTTACTACCACATGGGATTATCACAGTCGAGTAATGTATACCTATGGTAGATATTAAATCAATTTTAATCATAAGCCTCAACTGTACTTGCGATTTAGCTAAAAAGGCTACAGCTTTGACAATTCTTCCAATTATGCAATCTGTTACGGAACTGTTTGTGTGTGATTTGCTTTAATACCAAACTGGTAACAGCAAAACACCGAGACAGAAACAGAAAAATGAAAAAAGTTAGTATGTATTAAAATTAAAATAAGATTTTACTCTAATAATACTATCCAGTAGTGTAAGCTATATATAGTTAAAGACTAAATTCCAATATGGCTGCTTCTGTGAAATACTCATTTTAGCGTCTCCATTGTATTAATGTATTGTAAACGTGCCTCCGGTTAGGAAACAGAGGCATTTCCGAGACAAAGAGGAAATTTTATGCTCTGCAGCAAAGTGCTGTTTATTCTACGTACTATATCTGATGTTTGTGAAAGCAAATACAAAACTAAGCTGTTTATATCTAATTAACATTTTAATAAAATAATTTAGAACATTCTTTGATTAATAAAGATAAGTAAATCAGGTTTTTTAAGTTTCATATGACTAAAAAATGAATATTTATCTTATAAAGGTATCTTTTCATGTTTCCAAAAAATATTTATCGCTTATTTAATGACAGGAAATATTTTATGTATTTTCAATTTATTTAAATTGTATAATTTATAATTTTGAAAATTTGGAGAAAAAAATACGTTAAGTACATTTTTTGTTACTTAACTTGTGTTTTTATACTATACACCGTTTTAACGTTCAAAATTTTGTCTGTTTTTAATATTAAATCAAGAAGAGTTAAGAGGAAATGAATAAAATTATGTAAAAAGGGAAACACGATAGTGAAATATAAAAACAGGCCAATTGCGAGGGGCGCAACTTAGCTTTCGTAGTTCACGCTCAAATTTTAATTCTCTCCGTATTTCGGAAAGTGCGACAAAATTCAGCCGATTCCACGAAATGATATAAATAAAAAACAAAAGTGCAAAACAATTTCATAAAAATGTGAATGTTTATGAAATCGTTTTAGTAGTAAAAATAATGCGCACAGGTCTCCTTTCGTTTCTGAGAGGGTTTTTAGGGCAAGGAAATGTCCTCTGCGCTGTCCCAATGCATGTCGGTGAATTTCATATGTGTTTGAAATATTTTTTTCTTATTTGTTAGACGTGCAGGTTTCCTCACGATGTTTTTCTTCACCGCAAGGTATGTTTTTTTTATAGGACAAGGGTGATAAACGAGGACCCAGTCCATCTGATGTAAGTGGTTGGTAGCCCTTAGACATCTATATCTATTCTCGATTACGAATCAAAATGTAGACACGTTGTCATCCGTGAGGACTAAGATGGAATGCCTCGTTTCCAGTAAAATGAGTCTCCGGTTCTCTACACTCACCATACGAAACACAGCAACGTTGAGCTGCTATTTTACGCTGGTATAATGTGAGAGCGCTTTCCTTCATAATGATTTCTTATATTTACGCGAACACTACACATTGAAATAATACTAATTTTTACGGAATTTATCGCGTATATTTAACTTTTTTTACCCGACGTTTCGAGAGCTTTACAGCACCCATGGTCACGGGAAGGACTGAGATGTTCAACGTCCAGCTGTCATAGTTAACCGCGGTTACCATAGATTAAAATTTAACTTTTGTTCCGATCTACACAGTATGAACTTATGGTATCATGGAGTCTTGCAGTTGTATGCTTGGCTTGGGATTTAATTTATATTTATTATAGGATCCCAAGCAGATGGTAGCACCCAGCCATCTTCTCTATTGAAATTAGGATGTTTTTTGATTTCAATAGCCTCGCGAATCATCCTTGGAAGGAATCGGTGTTCTTTAGCGAGGATTTGTGGTCTATCAAATCTGATGTAGTGACGGGGGTGATCCTGTACATGTTCACAGACTGCAGATTTCCCGGAGCGTCGATTCTTCACATCAGCTATATGTTCTTTGACGCGGGTTTTAATTGATCTTTTAGTTTGTCCTATGTAGGAGAGACCACATTCACAATCAAGCTTGTACACTCCTGCATCTTGCAGAGGGACGTTACACTTGACTGATGGTAAAAACTGACCAATCTTCTTCGGCGGCTTGAAGTATGTTTTGATGGAAGCGCGCTTCAAGATGTAGCCAATCTTGTCAGTGACTCCTCTAACATATGGCAGTACAGCAGGTACACGCTCGACTGTGGCCGGCTTCACTCGTTCTCTGTGACGTAGGCGCGGGACCCGAAGCTTGTTGTCATGCAAAACTTGCTTGACATGTTGGAGCTCGGCAGCCAGGTGTTTACTGTCACAGATCCCTCGTGCTCTCTGAAACAAAGATTTACCCACGGTAGCTAACTGTGAAGGATGGTGGTGAGAATCACCGTTTAAATATCTATCTGTATGGGTCTTTTTTCTATACACAGTATGGCTCAAGGTGTTATCAGGATTCCGAATTACTAACACATCTAGAAAAGCTAAGGAATTGTTTGCCTCTAACTCCATTGTGAACTGAATTTTAGTATTTATAGAGTTAAGATGGTCTAAAAATGCAGATACTTTATCTAAAGGTAGAATTGTGAAAGTGTCGTCTACGTACCGCTTGTAGAATCTTGGATTTATGGGAGAAGTAAGCAGGGCTTTCTCCTCAAAGTCTTCCATGAATATGTCGGCGACAATGGGAGATACAGGTGAGCCCATCGCCACACCATCTACTTGCTTGTAGAACTCCTCCTTCCACAATGGGTAGCCAGATGTAAGGCAGTGTCTGAGTAATACTGCATATTCTACGGGCATGTTGTTTTCTTCCAGCCTTCTAGTTACAATTGAGATGCAGTCTTCAACAGGTAAGCATGTAAACAATGACTGCACATCAAAACTGACCATAGTTTCATTGTCTGCCAGACGTAGGCCTTTAATCTCGCTGACAAAATGGTAGGAATCCTTTATGTGTG